TAGGTAAGGGACAAAAAGCCACTTGCTAATCGCTCATATTTCATCTCATAAAAGAGCTATAGATATATATATGTCACCCATTGAGCATGTTTGGGATGCTCTGGATCGGCGTATACGCCAGCGTGTTCCAGTTCCTGACAATATCCAGCAACTTGGCACAGCCATTGAAGAGGAGTGGACCTAGGGTTTTCGGACCCCCCCAGACCCCCCCCAAAAAAACAAAACCGCACGTTTCAGAGTGGCCTTTTATTGTGGCCACCCTAAGGCACACCTGTGCAATAATCATGCTGTCTAATCAGCATCTTGATATGCCACACCTGTGAGGTGGGATGGATTATCTCGGCAAAGGAGAAGTGCTCACTATCACAGATTTTTTCAGATTTGTGAACAATATTTGAGATAAATGGTTATTTTGTGTAGAAAATGTTTTAGATCTTTGAGTTCATCTCATGAAAAATGGGAGCAAAAACAAAAGTGTTGCATTTATATTTTTGTTCAGTGTATATATATATATATATATATATGTATTGTGTTTGCACAATTTAAAGGAAATAATATCAAACGTGTGGGAGCATATCACTTTCTGAAAGAGAAAGACATTGTATTCTGCATGAAAAACACAAGAAGGGCCAGATAGCAGCCCAATTTATAAATAGTCCTATGACAATAACATGACCATAGTCATGCTCAAAAATCAAGTAATAACAAAAAAGGCTTTGTCAAGCTCACAAGTACCACACTTGCATTACAATGATACACCCGTATGCTCCTATGTGCTTCAAGTGAGTAGGTGATAGGTACAGTCATGGTCAACAGCTGTGGCTGCTTTTTGAGAAGCTGGGGTTTTGCATTTGCTTCATTGTCTCGTATGAATCAAAAGTGTTTCAGAATAAAGGGAAAGAAGTGCTGAGCATTAGTGCGTCAGCCCAGGTCTGTCAGTCTGATCGGTCGGGGTTTTTACGGAGCCAGATGATGGAGAATCCCACGGTGAGGAACAGCACCGCGGCCATGCCCACCGTGTGATGTTTCACCTCAGGCTACAGGAATCAAAGCGCCACCTGCGGACCACAGGAGTCCCTCCTGCACAACAAACGCTACACTCCATGTCAAACAGCATCACTTGAAAATGTCAGAGATATATTTGGTTTTGAACACTTATTTACACAGATTACATGCGTGCGATCCGGCACACAACATGAACTGCTCGGCTTCCCCAAGGCAGGTAGCCATTAACTCAACAAGAGCTCCGCATTACTGCTCGAGTCACAACGCTCTTTCCGACCACACTTACCGCCTATAATCAATCATGAAGGTGATAGAGAAGGGACATTTTTCAAAGAAATTAGCAGGTTGGCTAAATTACTGTTTTCTGTTTCGAGTGCCAAGAGGTGAGCTCAGAGAGCGGGGGAAGACTGAAATCATGTTCACAGAGGAGAAAGAGAGGAAGTCTCTCATGGAGGCCTCAGGGAGCTTTCCTCAGATACCTGCTGGAGACGATATTTATTTTACAAAACGCTGCATTCACTGGTTGCCATTGTCATTGCTTTTGCATATTCTAGAGCAACCGACAAACCTTGAAGTAAGACTCTGAAGGGGCTCAGGTCAGGCTTTACTAGTTCAACATGAGTTTTTGTATGCAGAGCAAGTTTTGAGATACTGGAAGGAGAATATAAAGCTTCCAGTGATGGTGATTTATGAGATATATCAGATCTGGGTTTAAATAATTGTTATTATCTATCATCGATTCATCTTTTCTCCATTAATCCTTTGGTCAATGTAAGGTTATACAAATGTGGAAAAGTTGACCTGAAAAGTTGCCATTACACAAGTTGATGCCTTCTAATGTCTTGTTTTGACTAAAGCAAAAGCTATATATATATATAAATTTGTTTGCAGTTTTTTTACTTTATCCAGCTATTTAGAAAAACACAAAGACAGCTTTAAGAGTATTGTGAAATAAAAAAGCAGGTTGTTAAGCACAATCTAGGAAGTGAAGGAAGTGGAGCAGCCTCCAGCTCCTTTGTGTACACAATTGGTGTAAACAAAAACAAAGAGGTTTTTAAAACATGTGATTAATAGAATTATCTTTTATAAAAAGCCTGTGTTGTCTTTTCAAGGATTAAGACATCCAACAGGAAGAGAATATCAAAGACAGCTCATCACTGTTTGATGAACACAACACACAACAGGGGTTTTGTGTAAATGCAAGCTATCCTTGCAAACCAGGCCCAGTTTACATGCATGTGCCTCTATCCACATGCATTGGGTTTGTATAAGAGGGCAGATGGCGTTATTGGAGACGCGTTTTGACGCCTGTGTGTGTGTCTGTGCCACCGGTTGGGTGAATGGAGGCCATCTGGGATTGGCCAGGGCTTCTGTGAATGGAGCGCCATTCAGAACCGCGGACAGCTCCCAGCTCTCCGCGGTGCTGAATGGCGCTGCCGGGGCTCAGCAGTATCCCGGAAACCCTTCACAGCGCACTCTGACCCACCTTGGTAAACAGTGCCTGGCGATCAAACATGAAGCATGGGCCTACAGACACACGAGAGGCCTGTCCGCGCGGGCCTCTTAATGAGCAAACACAAGTCGAGGCGAAGAAAGCCTTCCGCCACATTAGGCAGGGAAACCACCTCTTGACTTTAATGAAATGCTCTCGATATGGAGTGGGCGGCCATGATGAACACCTGGCGGACTGCGACAGCACACACAGGCTCCCACGGTTGTTTGCATATGGCACAAGCCTGCTTCCTGCTCATTAAATTGTTGTAAAGCTGTAAAAGCTCCAGCATTATCTTACGAGCCTATCCGGGTTATCGATAGCCGATCAGAGGGATTAAGAGCTGGAGGCGGGATTCAATGTCAAAGAGCGTGGAGTAACAGGGGGAGAAAACACTAGCAGGGCCTCCATCTGCACATTAGCATGGGGCCTAAACACAATGAAGAGATGAATGAACATGAGGCCCGGGAGTCTCCTTGAATCTGTCATCCGTCTCCATGGCGACAGGAGGAGGAGGACCAAAAACTGGCATCTATCCGGGCCCAAATCAACAGATGGCCACCACATCTACCCCCTCCTCCCTCCCTCCATCCATCCCACCACCCGCCCCCTTCCCCTTTGCAGCCTACCTTGCACTGTTCCATGCACGTCCTCACTGAATATGCCCCCGGCTCATATTTCTGAGTCAGGAGCTCAAAGTCCTCGTATTTCTCCTGGGCGTGCTGGTCGTAGCGTTGGTACGCCTGGACGCACAGGCTGCATCTGGTGATGTCGCCATTGCCAAGCACGTCGAGGCTGCAGTTCAAATTGTCTGGATTTGTCGACCCGTAGAACAAATCCTGTAGAGAGTAGGAGTTACAAAAGGAAAGGTACAAATCGCTCATATTTACAGCCCGTGTCCCCTCTTGGTCGGAAAGGCCCCCGCACAAATGGTCGGCATCTGCGAAAGTAAAGCAGTCTTTAGATAAACTATCCTCCTGGTGGCAAGTTTCGAGCCGCCACAAATGTTTGGTAGAGTTTCCTATAAAAATAGCATCTGGGTTTCCTCTGAGGCTGCTGTGTGCTGAGTGGGTCTGAGGTGAGAGGAGGTGGGAGGATGCGAACTTGACCCGGGTCCGGGTCAGTTTGGCCTCGGCGCAGAACCACAGGTGATCAGAGAGGAGGATGGTTAAGAACAAGAGAGATGCCAAGGACAGTCGCCATCTCTGCGCCCTCTCTGAGTCGGTGAATGGCTTTTGGTTGTCGCGGGGGGGCTCTAGCCAGATTTGGAAGCCGTCGTCATCTTCTTGCTGCCAACACGTCCCAGCACCCCTGGTCATATTTTGGGAACCGGCCGACTCCACCGTGGGGGCTCCTCTGCCGCAACAGTCATTGACTTGGGGTCCGCTTCGCGTTTTCTTCCCCTCAAATGTCAGGTGGTGGGTTGTCCCGGCGTGTCCTTGCGTTCAGCGGTAATTCCCATTAAAATGAGCGTGGGCCGGATGGGAAATTAGACGCTGGCGACCACGGGCCGCATCCTCCATGGCTGACCGGTGAAGCCGCTGTCCTCCCGCCCGCCCTGAGCTCCGCTCCGCGCCGCTCCGCTCCTCTGCGTAGCCTCGACTCCGTTTTTAGAAACACTCACCAACGCGTTTACGTTTTCCCTGGCCTCGGTCGTGCAGGGACAAGGGCGCTATCCTCTTCCAACATGGCGAAGCTGTCTGCCTTTATGTCGGCGGAGGGGCCTACAGCCTGTAACAGACCTCTTTTCCTTTTCAAGCTCTCACCGTCTTCATCTCGCTGCCGTTGTCAAGTTGCCGCCATGTTCGCCAAGAGACGGTGTGTGTATGCAGGAAGCTGCGTCAGGTCAGCAGTGATAACCAGCAGCATTTCTGGTTGTCTCGTTCAAAATAAAAGTCTAGAAAATAACAATACAATTACACCAAATGTCTTAAAGATGACTGGTGCATTAAGAAATGTACACAGTCCCGCTTAATAAAGTATTATAAATAATACAAAATGGTTGTTAAGTTTTAAACCAAAACATAACTTTAATGCATAGACATTTGTACAACTGACTGCATGTCGAGTCAGATGCTTTATTTTGAAAGTCAACTCAACCTACATGCGGTATTTTGTTATATAAACCTTCTACCTTGACACACATCCACATCTCTGACGTTATGCGCGCGCATCGCAGTCACCGCATCGCTCTCTACCAAAGATGCGTCAAGTCAGAGGGAGCCTGCTGAAATGTCACATGAAATATTGTAATTATGACTTCAAAATTAAAGCCCATGATGTCAGTAATAACGATCTCAACTACTTTGTTTTATACTACAAAAATAAAGATCAAACAATAATATGAATTGCTTGCTGCTATAGAGAAGAAATGTCACAAAAGTGTGCAGATAAGGATGTTTTTGTACATGTATGTGATTATTTTATTTTGAAAATGACTGCTAGCTTCATTATTTTGTCCTATATTCTTGTTGTCTTGACACTGTCAGTCAGACAGGTTTGTACTCACCTGGTTTCCGCCTCAGGGAAGATGCTCTCGTCAAAAGAAAGGAGCCTGTTTAATCTCGGAAGGAAAAGGCAAACACTTAACTAAGTTTAAGCCCGATAATTAACATTGTAGAGATAGGTAATCTATCACTAGTATTCCCCCTAAAGTCTTATTGTTGCACAGTAATGCAAACTCACACGTCCAACTTTCAAAATATAAATTCACTTCAGCGTGTTTTACAATCTGGATAAGGAAACACTTTCCAAAAAATGAATTGTATATATGAAAGAATATGGATCAACAATGACCAGTTCCCCAGAGTTTTATGTCAATATGTACAAATAATGTCATAATTCAGTTGGAGCTTGATTCTGGTTGTTTTGACTGCATTTCTTCATTGAGGGCGGGTCAGGCTAATTTCTGTGGACAAACCTCTGCTGCCCTGACCCTGTGTTTGGTCTCTACAGGGGCTCATTTATTCCAGCTGAGTGCATGCAGCTGCTGGTTGTCTAGGGGCCATTTCCAAACCATTTGTTTCTGCTGGTGTCCAGTGTACTCGCTGGTGGTAGCAGCTCTCCATACGGCCGGCCTAATTAGGAGCATTTATCCCATTAGGGAACCTGGTATTTCTGCAATGCTATGCTTTCAGCGGCTGTTTGCATCTCCAGATCTTTAGGACTGATCATGTGCCCCTGCGAGGAGCAGCAGTTAGACGTTTCAAACCAACACTTACACCGAGAGCCTCACACACGCAAAGACACAGTGGAATAAGCACTAGTTGAGTAGCTCTAATTAAGGCCTGTCAGTCAAACTCACCTGGAAATAGGCCAGAGTGGGCGATGGGTTACAGAGTGCTTACTCTTGCACAAAATCTTGTTCTTAACCAATAATAAAGACCATTTTGCTCTGAAGTATTTTATTTCACAAATAGGGTTTAATTCTTAGAGCCGAGGTATTCACTTGTTTAAATAAATGGCAAACCCTATTGGGAGTACTACTACATGTCAATGAAAGCTAAGATTGCAGTATATTAATTGAAAACAGGTACCTCATCACTTACTTTGAAAATGTATTCATGAGGCATTTAGGAGAAACAAAGCCCAGGACACCACAGGCAGCTACCTGCACCCTGGAGGCTATGGTAATGAAGGTTATAACATATCAACGCGTCCCAAGACACAATGGTGACATTTCTGAAGACAGCAAAACATGGCCGCTTCTTTGTCGGAGGGCCTTGAGCTGGACCCGTTTTAACGTCCCCCCCATGGTGACGCTCTGCCAGATGAAGCAAGCAGAAGAGCTTGAGCAAATTCAAAACAATATTTCAGTCAATACGGTTCATTATTTTAAAAGGATTTATAATATTTATTAGAGTTTTGTAGACAGACACAAAAGCATAAAAGGCACAGATCAAGACAAGGCAAACGGAGTAATAATCCCAATGTTTTGGCCTACACACGTTTTACAGACAGTTCAGTTGACTCAACAGAAAAAGTCATTAAAAGTCACATCATTTTGGTTCTTCTTAATAAATAAATAAATAAATAAATGCTACATCTTGTCTTTGAGATGTTGTTACGGGTTGTATAATCTTACATTTGATATCTCTGATTTGGATGAATAAAATGGATTCATCTATAAAGACAGAAAAGTTAAGAGGATGAAAGCAGCTTCCTTTTTAAGACAGTACATTAATACTTCCAAACATTGAACACACATTGAAGCCCTCCATTTGTTAAAAAGACGAAAAGCTTTTTTCCTTTATTGTTATTAAAAACTGCTCGGCTAAAGATTAAAAGGCTAAGCGATTAATTAGCTTCCCATTGCAATACTCCATATTGCTATTTAACTTTAAAAATGTAATGTAGTTGTTGCCTTTAGGACTTTTACAGTATCCTATTAATTAAAAAACGAATCACATGAGGCCATAATCGCTCATGGAACACAGCAATCTGATTTAAAAGGCTAGCTATGCAGGGATTTATACCCAGTGTGCATCACCAGCGGACTCTTTAAGCCAAGTAGTCAGTGTCATTCAGCAGATACCCTGCTTTTATTGAATCAGTCAACCATGATTCTCTTACGATCTTAAACTTCTTCCTAAAGCAGCGCCTCAGATTCCTTAAGTGCAGAAGTCTGGTTTCCTCTGAGATAATGACATGAGAGACTCCTTCCTCCAACTTCTGCACCACCTTACCTCCATGGTAGCGAAACTCCAGCGCCCTGATGTCCAAACAGGAAGCTTTTATGGCGGTTCCAGGTTCTCCAATGTCGGTGAATCTGTCCATGTAGACCTCAAATGGCCTGAACATGCTGGTGGGAATGTCCTCCCAGCTGTAGCGCTGCTCCACCTGGCTGATGTTCACCGCCGCCGCCGTGTCCTCGTTGCTGATTCGTGCAAACACCTCCCGCAGCTGCTGCTCGTCCGTGTCCACGAAGTAGCTGTCGCCATAGCTGTCGTACTCCTTGGCGAAGTGCTCCCTGGTGGAGGGCGACATGTGGATCATGTGCCGCGGTTGCCATGGGACCACTTCCTTCTGGTCCAGGCACTCCAGCAGCCAGGCGGCCCACACAACGTCATGCTGGTCGGACAAAACCAGGTTCTTCACGCGCATGTTCTCCACGCCGGCAACCACGCAGTAGGTGTCCCGTCCTGGGTTTTGAACCACGACACCACCACACCTAATGAGGAGATGAAGACAATAATGAGTTCATTGATTATTAAGGCTATTTTAAAGTGTGACAATAAGACTTTAGAGACGTAGCAACACCAAATCACATCACATAAGACACATCAAATGCACCATTGCAGTTAGGGGTTCTGCTTCTACAACCTTAATTGGTGTGGTACAATCAGTATTTTGTGGTGGCTAACGTTAGCTAATATTAGCTTACATAAGATATATATTGCTGTTTAACATTTCTAAGCCACATGGTTGACTTCAACTATAACAAAAGGCTTTCTCTACCTGGCCACGCCCTTTTCCAGCTCCGCTTTGGGGTTCTGCTCAGTGCCATTCAGGATACAGAACTCGACATCCTCAAACATATCCGTCTCCTTGGTAACCCCGGAGAGGTCCTGGTGCTTGAAGTGGTCGATGATCCCGACCACCTTCTTGGGTTTGACCAGTGGCTTGCGCTTCTTCTTCTGCGGTTCGTTGCCATCGATGTAGAGGTGCCGCGAAGCTAGTTTCCCAGAGGCCTTCCCGCGTAACTGGTCCAGCTCTGCGAGTGTCATGCACTGGTGCCACTCCTTGTCCTCGCGGATCTTCTCAATCCTGGGGAAGCGCAGGGTGCAGTTGGTTTTATACATGTCGCTGCCCACTATTTCCGCCGCCCTCACCTGGAGGATGACCGAGTTGCAGGGCTCGATGTAGACTTCTGGTTTCTCGGTTCCGCACAAGATGGATGCTGGCGGGTCGTTTTTTCGGTAGACTTTCCAATGCTTGGCTAGCTTTAAACCGAGGTCGTACAACTCCTTCATGGTGTAGCCAGAGCCGATGCGGCAAAAAGAGTGGAAAACTGAGGGTTTCTCGCCAGGCTTTGGAGCTTCTGCGACGGCAGCTAAGAAATGGGACATCATACCGCCCCGTTTTCCTTTCCCCCAGTATCCGCCAACAATCAGCAGGTCAAGCTCATCCATCAAGCCATCCACATATTCTGGCTTTATTTTCAGCCATCCCTCTCCTCGCTTGTCAGGTTTGTAGATGGACAAAGGATCCTTCACCATGATCCCCTCTTCTCTGCTGTCAATGGCGTCATTGAGGGCGTTCACCACGTCCTGCACGGTTCTGGCATCGGCCTTTGGTACCAGATGTATCCTCCCCTTGACTGGAGTGAAAACGGTTTGAAGGGTCTCGTGGCGCTTCTTTAGTGTTTCCTTGCCAAGCTTCTGGTCATTGACTAACAGCACGTCAAACACACAGAAGCACGTCTGTAGCTCAGAGTCGTCCATTAGCTTCTTGATGTCGAATTTGCTCCCTTTCTGCATGAAGATGTCCGTGGTCGGGTTGTACGCCATCATCTCCCCGTCGAGGATGCAGTTTACGACGTGGCTTTTGAAAACGTTGTGGATGTAAGGCGTCAGCGAGCCTTCCAGTGGAGATGCGCCAAACTGCTGGGTGTACTCAAAAGCGTTTCGACTGAAGTACTTGTACACGTCGCCGTCTTTGTGAAGCTGTATCCGCTCTCCATCCAGTTTAGTTTGAATGAAAAATGGGCTGTTTCCCATCTGTTTCTCCACATTGCGGATGTTCGCCACACCCGCCAACATAGGCTTGAATGCGGAGAAGAGTCCGATAGAGACATCGCTTAAAGAC